GTCCAGACGTTTCGTCAGCTATTGAGGCTGATATCCTCAGTGGTAGTGCTGCGTTGACCACGTGAACGTAGATTATATTTCCAGTCGCTGTCGAGCTGATATTATCATATTGTTTTAGATTGACGAATGCGGCAGGCTATGGTTACTTGATTCAGGAGATAGAAACAACGGGCAGATTTGTCCCCCGCAAATATTAGCATTTGACTTGGAAACAGTAAGTATACCAAGTGATTCAGTTTGCACCGAAGTAGCTTATTATCAAGTATATCAATCTTGATATATTGGAACAACAAAATGGTATTGTCTTAATTATGACAAAAATATTATTTATTTTTAGGATACATTGCTATATAGATACGAAATACCCTCTAGTCAATACGAGTACAGATCACTTTTCGTAACTCCGATTGTAGATGTGCGAGATGAAGAATGCAACGACACCATGGTGTATGTCGCAGATGCTCTAGCATTTTCCATCATTGTCTACAACCCAACGTTGGGAGTCTCATGGAGAGCAACTGACGAAACAATGTACGCTGATCCTAACTTTGGAACTTATGATATTCATGGTAAGAAGTTTACACACCACATTTTCAGTAGTCAAGAACAAACTTAAAACAATTTTGAAAATTACATTTAATAGAGAGGTTGATAAAACACATTTACAAAAGAAACATCTAGGTAAGCGTGAATTGAGTATGCATGTACTCTGGTCTCACATTATTAAAGTAGCCACTCACTTTGAAACTTTTTTTATTGAAGGCCACTCGACTCTCCTAATTTTTCATCTCCCATCTTTATATTCGCACTTTCTCTACTGTTTCTTCCCTTGCATATCAGTATTTTTGTTTCATTTTTATTTATTTACGTACAATACTGTTTTGTAGGTACCGCTTCCATTTTATTTAAAGCTATCTCTAACTCCTCCTTGCTAGATCCTTATACTGCTATATCATCTGCAAATTTAAGCATACTAATCTTTTGCCCCTCTTTATCTATCCCTACAATTGTACTGTCTTTGATGATATTGATCGCGTCTTCGATGTATAGATTAAAAAGTAGTGATGACAGTGTGCATCATTGTCTGACTCCCTTCCTAATATATACTTCTCCACGTTGCAACCACATCTCTATAACTGCTTGTTGCTTTTTATACAATCTAAGTATCACTCTTCTATCTTTGTAACTCATTCCTACATTTTAAGTATATTTAACATCTTGTCCCAATTAACAGTGTCAAAAGCTTTTTCTAAATCTACAAATCCTATTCAATACAATTCCTTTCTCTGTCGTTTTCTCGTTTACTATCCGTAAAGCTGGAATGACCTCCCGCGTTCCTCTATTTCTTCTAAACCCAAATTGATCTTCCCCTAATAGTTCTTCCGCTCGTTTTTCCATCCTCCTTTATACAATTCTAGTTAAGATTTTTGATGCATGGGAAGTTAAAGTAATTGTTCTAAATGTCTTGCATGGTATCTGCACCTCTCTTTTTAGATATGGTTATTGCCACCTTCCGTTTATAATAATCCTTTGTAATTTTCGTCATCTCGTAAATGTGACTAACCAGCTTAAACATGCGATCTCTAACCTCTTGTCCTATATGTTTTAAAATTTCTGCCTGTATCCCATCAAACCCAAACGATAAAAGATAACTAGTTTTTATCTTTGAATTTACGTGACTATTCTTTTAGACTTTATTAACCTTCTTACCTTGTTTACTATGAATAAAAAATACACTCTTATATAAAATGGGAACAGTAATTTATAAACATTTTTTCAGGAATTAGCTTCGACTTATTGGATGGAATATTGGGCATGGATCTTTCACCTTACAAACCCGGAAGTGACAGAATACTTTTCTATCACGCCATGTCCAGTATCACTGAGAACTTTGTTTACACGTCAGATCTCAGAAATCGTACCAGGTTTGAGAGTAATCCCCAATCATCCCCAGAAATATTCCATGTAAGTTTTTCGATATACAATGTTCAACTACGTTGGGTTCATGGTTCTTTATTTCGAATTTGGAATCATGTGTATTCATATCCATGAATTTAGCGTCATGGGAAATCTGAACTCTTTCCTCGATCAGGCTCCAAATCCTGTAGCTTTTCGAAGTCTCTGAATATCCTACCAATATACCTTCCTTTGTAGGGGATCTGAACTTGTTCTTTTCGACAGTCGAGTCGAGATAATGCACCTTGCAACCAAATATCCCCAAGTGAAACACATTCGGCGGGTTACTATACCATGCTTCGTAGGGTGTTTTATCATTTAGGCTGATAGTCGGACTGCGATTGCGCAAATAGTGCGCGGTGTTGACCGCTTCGGCACAGGAGCTCGGTTGTAAATTAGCTTGTATGAGTAGACATCACGACATATCTAGCAAAGTTCGGTTTCTGCACTCGGAAGTTCCATTTTGTTGTGGGTGGTAGTGTACTGATAGTCTTCTTGTTATTTCTGATGACTTTAACAGTTTATTGAATTTTCTGTCCACATATTCGGTACCATTGTCGCTTTGAATTTTGCCTTAAATTCGATAAATTTATTAATGACTTCGTCTTTAGACTTAATAAAACAAACTTGACTCAAACGCGTAGCTTCGTCAGTGAATGTAACGAAGAATCATGCCTTTCCCATGTATTCCGTCTGCATATTACCGCATACGTCAGTGTGAATGACTTCTAGGACTTCAGGTGCTTTCCCATGATGTTTTGAAAAAGGGGGTCGCAATAGTTTTCCTTTGAAGTTCTCGCACTTTAAGTCGACGTCTTTTTCTTCGATATTTATTCCAGTGAGTAGACCGTTTCTTGAGGTTTTCTTTTAGTCTCCTATGTTGAGATGCCCCCTTCTTTTATGTCATTCATTGAGTGATAGCTGTGGAACTGTAGAATCCGTAGTAAACGATGCGCTTTTGGGCCTCAGTTCGCGGTATTCGCGCACATAATATAAGTATCGGATACGTTTGGGCGTCGTTTTAACGTTTCCAGCACCATCTAGTACTTCTACTCTATTTCTTTTGAATGATTCTTTGAATCCGCGGTTGGTAATCTTGGAAACTGACATTAAGTTCGTTTTTAATTTGGGAATATGTAACGTATTCGGCAATGTAATTTCTGTAATTGTCTTTGGCGATTCGTTAAGAATTTTGGCTGTTCCATTGTCAGATTCACGTCACCGACGTCTTTCTTCGTTAAATTCAGGGTCTTTACATAGGTGAGATGTCCAGGCGTTGAGGCGTTAGAAACTCGGTTTGCTTGAGTAGTGAAATATGTGACGTCGACATTGTTCCCTCTCTAGGTTCTCTTGGGTCCAGTGCACTCAGCAGATTTATGTCCAATTTTTCGACATTTGTGGCAACGAAATTTGAACTGCATTTTATTAGGCTCGATCGACTTTTGTAATGCACCTTGAGTTGACCCGTGGGCATCATGTTGACGAGCTTCATATTCATCTACAATTTTTATACAGAGAGCTTCGGGAGTAGGTAACCATTCTCTGGATTCAATTGCACATCGGAAATTTTCAAATTTCTTAAGAAGACTATATATAATAACATAATTGAGAGCAAGCCGTTGTCTGTACAAACTCCCATCTCTTCTAATCTATCCACTGCATCGAAAAATTTGGTAAGGTGCTCTTTGACATCGCCGTTTTCTTCTAATCTTTGAAGATTTAATTGGTTTAACAATGTGACTTTTTAAGAACAAAGGCTTTCACGGCCGGAATCAATAGTAGAATGAAGATTCGGGCTACAGGGCCGTGGTCTAAGTGAACTATTGTGTCCAGACGTTTCGTCAGCTATTGAGGCTGATATCCTCAGTGGTAGTGCTGCGTTGACCACGTGAACGTAGATTATATTTCCAGTCGCTGTCGAGACATCGAGATATAATCTACGTTCACGTTGTCAACGCAGCAATACCACTGAGGATGTCAGCCGCAGTAGCTGACATCCTCAGTGGTAGTGCTGCGTTGACAAC